AGGGAGCCCGATGCGGGACTTGATCCTGGGACTCCAGGATCATGACCTGAGCCGAAGGCAGTCGCTTAACCAACTGAGCCACCCAGGCGCCCGGTGTTCAGAATGGTTTGATCCGTATCCAGCTGAATTCCTGGGACCAAACGAAATCTAGGTCTCCTACATCTCCGCCATATTGCTCTGCTCCCCCGGCCCCATCACCTCTTTAACCCATCCCCCCTCCCCCCTCCCCTCTGTAACCATCAGTTTGTTCTCTGTAATTAAGAGTCTGTTTCTTGATTTGTCTCTCTCCTTGTAATTTTTTCCCTTTACTTCTTTGTTTTGTTTCTTAACTACTTAACTCATCCACATATGAGTGAAATCATATGGTATTTGTCTTTCTCTGACTTATTTAGCTTTGCATTAAAAAATATGGACGGCTCGGGGCGCCTGGGTGGCTCAGTCGTTAAGCATCTGCCTTCGGCTCAGGTCCTGATCCCAGGGTCCTGGGATCGAGCCCCGCATCGGGCTCCCTGCTCGGCGGGAAGCCTGCTTCTCCCTCTCCCACTCCCCCTGCTTGTGTTCCCTCTCTCGCTGTGTCTCTCTCTGTCAAATAAATAAATAAATAAAATCTTAAAAAAAAAAAAAAATATGGAAGGCTCCACAAATTTACATGTCATCCTTGCTTAGGGGCCATGCTAATCTAATCTTCTCTGTATCATTCCAGTTTTAGTATGTGTACAGCCAAAGCAAACATTTCTGCCCATTCTTAAATGGCATTATTCAGTTTTTGGATGTTGAGTTGTGTTAATTTCTTTATATATTTTGGATACTCACCCTTTATCAGATATGTCATTTGGAAATATCTTCTCGCATTCAGTAGGTTGCCTTTAAGTTTTGTTGATTGTTTGCTTTGCTGTGCAGAAACTTTTTATTTTGATGTTCTCCCAGTAGTTTATTTTTCCTTTTATTTTCCTTGCCTCATGAGATATATCTAAAAAAGTGTTGCTACAGTCGGTGTCTGAGAGATTACTGCCTGTACTCTCTTCAAGGATTTTTATGGTTTCAGGTCTCACATTTAGGTCTTGAATCCATTTTGAGTTTATTTTTGTGTTTGGTCAAAGAAAGTGGTCCAGTTTAATTCTTTTGCATGTGGCTGTCCAGTTTTCCCAGTGCCATTTGTTGAAGAGACTGTCTTTTTTTTCATTGTATATTCATTCCTCCTTCGTTGAAGATTAACTGACCATATAATTGTTAAGTTTATGTCCGGTTTTTCTTTTCTGTTCCATTGATCTATGTGTCCGTTTTTATGCCAGTACCATACTGTTTTAATTATGACTGCTTTGTAATATAAGTTGAACTCTGGAATTGTGATATCTCCAGTTTTGTTTTTCTTTTTCAAGATTGCTTTGGATATTCAAGGTCTTTTGTGGTTCCATATAAATTGTAGGATTGTTTGTTCTAGTTCTGTGAAAAATGCTGTTGGTGTTTTGATAGGGATTGCATTAAATCTGTAGTTTGCTTTGGGTAATATAGACATTTTAACAATATTTGTTCTTCCAACCCATGAGCATGGAATGGCTTTCCATTTCTTTGCATTGTCTTGAATTTCTTTCATTAGTGTTTTATAGTTTTCAGACTACAGGTCTTTCCTTTTTGACTATAGCCTTCAACCTTTCTTCCTCCCCAGAAGTAACAACTGTTATCAGTGTGAATTATACCAGGTCTTTTTCTAGGTATTTGTGTACACAAATACTTACCCTTAGGTTTATATTTTATTTTTTTTAATATCATCAAATTGTACAGGAGCACTTCATTTTATTGCACTTTTCAGATACTGCCTTTTTTTTTTTTTTTTTTTAACAAATTGAAGGTTTGTGGAAACCCTGTGTTGAGCAGGTCTGTTGGTGCCATTTTTCCAACGGCATTTGCTCACGTTGAATCTCTCTCACGTTTTGGTAATTCAGTATTTCAAACTTTTTTCATTATTATTGTATTTGTTATGGTGATCTGTGATCAGTATCTTTGATGTTACTATTGTAATTGTTTTGGGATGCCACAAATCACTCCCTTACAAGATGGAGAACTTAATAGATAAATGTTGTGGCTATTCTGACTGCTCTTCCAACTGGTTGGTCTCCCATTTCTCTCCCTCTCCTTGGGTCCCTATTCCCTGAGACACAACAATATTGAAATTAGGCCAATTAATAATCCTACAACAGCCTCTTTAAGTGTTCAAGTGAAAAGAGGGTCCACGTCTCTCACTTTAAATCAAAAGCTAGAGGTGATTAAGCTTAGTGAAGAAGATACATCAAAAGCCAAGATAGGCCAAAAGCTAGGCTTCTTGTGGCAAACAGCCAAGTTGTGAATGCAAAGGGAAGGTTCTCAAAGAAATTAAAAGTGCTACTCTAGTGAACACACGAATGATAAGAATTGAAATAGCCTTTTTGCTGATATGGAGAAAGCTTTGGGTCTGCATAGAAGATCAAACCAGCCCATTCCCTTAAGCCAAAGCCTAATGCAGAGGAAGGCCCTGACTCTCTTCTATTCTGTGAAGAGTGGGAGAGGTGAGGAAGCTACAGAAGAAAAGTTTGAAGCTAGCAGAGGTTGGGTCATGAGGTTTAAGAAGGTTTAAGAAGTCGTCCATCTCTGTAACATAAAAAGCACAAGGTAAAGTACCAAGCATGTAGAAGCTGCAGCAAATTATCCAGAAGATCCAGCTAATTAATGAAGGTGGCTATACTAAACAACAGATGGGCAATGAAATTAGCTTGTGTTTTTTTTGTTTTGTTTTTTGTTTTTTTAGATTTTTTTATTTGAGAGAGAGAGACAGAGATAGTGAGACAGAGAGCACAGTGGGGAGGAGAGGGAGAAGCAGGCTCCCCACAGAGCAGGGAGCCCAATGTGGGACTCGATCCCAGGACCCTGGGATCATGACCTGAGCCGAAGGCAGAGGCTTAACCGACTGAGCCACCCAGGCGCCCTTGTGTTTTGTTTTAATGTGCATTTTCTTGATTACTAGTGAGATCAACTGTCTTTTCATACGTTTATTGGCCTTTTTTATTTCCTTTTGTGTGAAATGTGTGCTCATGTTCATTTTTATTTTGGGCTATCATTTTATTATTGCTTTGTAGGATTTCTTTAGTTTCATACTTTGCTTTATATTCAGGAGCAGCATCTCTTCAGAATTGTCATGGCTATTACACATCTCTATTTGATACACATTCTAAAATTATAGAATCAGCTTGTCAAGTTCAAGGAGTAATCCTGTTGAATTTGTTATTGCTTTAATTACTACAGGTTAATTTGGGGAGAGATAGCATGTGTTTTACCAACACCATTTGTTTAATCTTTCTCAGCCTAATATGCCTGTTCTGAATTAGATCATTTGTTTAATGCTGTTGCTCTGTGATAAAAATTAAAATAGTTTACCTTACTGTCCTATCTCATTTCTTTTGAAGTAATTGTCATCTCTTCTAGCATATTTCTTTTCTAAACACATGTTATCTGAATTGTCACAAAGGGCTACTGGTGGGATGTGCAATAGCGGGTGGGGAAAATTCTGTCATCTCTTTTGTGTCTTGCTTTTCTAGCAATCCCCAAAGTGAGACTGGAGACAATCTACATTTGTGGAGTAGATGAGATGAGTACCCAGGATATCTTTTCCTATTTTAAAGAATATCCTCCTGCTCACATTGAATGGCTGGATGATACCTCCTGTAAGTACACGCAAGTTTTTTGTTGAATATGCTTTTGTTTATGATTTTAATTTTGCCATCTCAGATGGTGAATATTTGTGGTTGAGACTACTCGTCTGTGCCCTAACCTCTGCCTTTAGCCTAGGGGAGAAAGATTGTCCATTGATGAGAACCAGAATGCCTTAGCCAATCTGCCAGATCATATTCCATGAGTATTCCAAGTCAGCTCAGATGTGATGACCAGGAATCTAGGAGGTTGGTTGCTGGCATCTGAGTCTTGTGTACATGATTGAGGCCTCTTTAACTCCCACAATTTCCCAACAGAGGGGTGGATCCAACTGTATAGACTTGGGCATCGCACCTACCCATATAGCTCTTCACAGGGCTGGCTCTGCCTTAGTATTTGATTTAGAACTAAACTGGAACCCTCTGACACTGTATGAGACCTCTCACCTCTGCTTGCTTTGAAACTTCACCTGCTTGCCCTAACCTATGAGCTCTCCAACTTGTGAACTAGCTGTAATTTTTACTTGCCTCGCTATTCGAAGTCTGGTAGGACCTGTGGTAATCACTCCTCTGGCTTCTTGTCTTAACTCACTTCTAGTCTGGCTTTGCTTACTGCCAGCTTGCTGACCTGCTAGGTTGTACCCTGAATAGCTGCCTGGTTTTTCCAGCTGCTTTCTTTAGAAGATATTGATTCAGTATTTTCATTGAAAGAAGAAACATGACTGAGTTGAAGAGTTTTCTCCATTTTTCCTTTCGCTTAATTTACGCTATCTAAATCAAGGGTTGGCAAACCTTTTTCTATAAAGGGCTAGACAATAAATATTTTAGGCTTTGCAGGCCATGCAGTCTTTGTTTTGTTACATCTATTCAGCTCTGGTATTGTAGCATGAAAGCTGCCATAGACAATATGTTACTGAACAAGCCTGGCTGCTTTCCACAGGATTTTTTTTTTTTTTTTTTTTAGTAAAAAACATGGTGGATGTGTAGTTTATTGTTACTTATTTAATTAATTATATGTACATAAAGCTGGTATAAATATAAATAAATAAGTGAATAGGTGGTGGGCTGGATTTGGCCTGCAGGTTGTAATTTGCTAACTCCTGATCTAAGTCACTAAAACTGTAGCTAAGGGATATTAGAGTCGGAGGGACCCTTTAGATTTACCCAGTTTTCCTAACTCATGTTGTACATCAGAACTGAGAAACAGAAGGAAAATCGTTTGCCCAAGGCCATGTCACATGTTCGTAACAAAAGTGAGAATCTGTAGATGTTCATTTTCCAAACTGAGAATGGAAAGGTAACTTTAGTTGAGAAATGCTCTTTTAAACAAAATTAAATAGATTTCTATAAGACTTTTCAACACCTTTTTCTTGTTAAATTCTCTTGCTTAAATAAGCAGATTAAATTAGTTGCTACAAAGCCAAGTGGCTGTCATGCCTCCATTGTATATACTCCATGGATACCATCGTCATCCACACTTCACAGTGGGAAACAATCATTAGTGTGTCTGAATGACAAGGTACAACAGACGGCTTCCCTGTAGAGGGCAGTAGTATAAAGGATAATCTAAATTTATTTGATGGTTGTCTTCTTGTCATCATCATCATCATCACCACAAGAACTGCTAACACTATATAATACTCACTGAGCCGGCACTTTTAATATGCAGAACCCTTTCTCATGGAATACTTTACAGTTATTTTGTGGAACCCAGTTTGGGAATGCAGCTCTAGGCTAATTTCATCAAAGAGGTTTTACTACCACTTTCTGTACTACTTTCATTAGTTCATACATTTACTGATACTGACCTGTAGCTATATGAGGCCAAAGCAATGAATATGTTGCAGTTTCTGTTTTTTAAAAACTTAAACCATTTGGATGTGATGTAATGTTTTATTTTACATTTTGTTTTAGGTAATGTGGTTTGGCTGGATGAAATGACAGCCACACGAGCCCTTATCAATATGAGCTCTCTGCCAGCCCTGGACAAGATAAGAAGCAGGGATGCCAATGAGGACAGGTCATCTGAGAAAAGTAAAAAAGGTAACAACACAAAGGAGGGACTTTAGGGCTGAAAGTCCTATTCTTTACACCGTTGGTTTAGGTTTTTCTGCAGAGCATTATATAGCGTCTCATTGTCAGTTATTTCTAAAATAAGCTGTAATGCTTTGGATCATCAGTAAATAGGAAATATTGGACTTTTATTTTTTTTATTTATTTTTTTTTTTTTTAAAGATTTTATTTATTTATTTGAGAGAGAGAATGAGATAGAGAGAGCATGAGAGGGGGGAGGGCCAGAGAGAGAGGCAGACTCCCTGATGAGCAGGGAGCCCGACGTGGGACTCGATCCCGGGACTCCAGGATCATGACCTGAGTCGAAGGCAGTCGCTTAACCAGCTGAGCCACCCAGGCGCCCGGAAATATTGGACTTTTAAATTACATGAGATGGAGTTATGAAGGTTCATCTTGTCCCTTATATTGTATTTTAGACAAGCAGGAAGACAGTTCAGATGATGATGAGGCTGAAGAAGGAGAAGTTGAAGATGAGAACTCAAGTGATATAGAGGTTAGTAAAAGGGCAAAGATATATATAAGGTTTTAGTGTAAAAACTGCTTATTGTCTTATTTAAGGCTTAAGGACTTAGTAAATTGTGTTCTTCCTCTGGCTTTCACTGTTAAACCTTTTGAGGGTACACCAGGCTCCTGGCCTTTAAGTTCATATGGCTGTAATGAGTGATTTTTCTTGAAATCTTAGAATAGTACTCATACTTCTGTATAAAAGAAAATGGTTTTATTGAGAAGTACTTTGAAGTGTTATCTAATCAATAAAATTAAGAAAAAACAAGTGACAGAATATTTCCTAATGGGGCATGTGCTGTTGTTGGAAATATTAAAGTATATTCATTTAAAAAATATTTGTTGAGTACCTACTCTATACCAAATTCTAGGTCCTGTGGATATAGCATCAAAGCAAAGTCCTTCCTCTCTTGGAACATACATTCTAGTGGAGAAGACAGACAATACACAGATACACAGATACATAATATAATGTCAGAAAGTGAGGAGTGCTATGGAGAAAAGTAAAGAAGGGTAAGCAGATAGAGAATGATGGAGACTATTCCTTTAGACAAGGTGTTCAGGGAAGACCTCTGACTTAGAAATGTTTCAGAAGAACATGTGCTGTCATGGTTCAACAATTGTTAAAGAATGCTTTCCCAATGGGGACTTTGCTACTGAATAAATATGAAAGAAGCTTTAATGTTTATATTGAAAATGCTCTTTTTTTCTTAAGTTGGACACATTGTCTCAAGTAGAAGAAGAGTCTCTGCTAAGAAATGATCTTCGTCCAGCTAACAAACTTGCTAAAGGAAATAGGTTATTCATGAGATTTGCTACAAAAGGTAACTGTGATATTTGGCATTAATTTTTAGTTGTAATCTAAGCCATTTTTTTTTTTGAGTGACATCCTTCTCTTTTGAATAGGAAGTTAGGTCAAGTAATCTCAAAGTCCCTTCAAGCTATAATGTTCTGTGCTTGTGAAATGATGGCTTGCTGCCTGAGTTGAATTTCAGATTTTGAAGGTGAATGTTAGCTATTTGTATACTTTTGTGATTTCTGGCTAAAGGAAGTTATTTTCTGTGAAAGCTAGTTTGCTCTCTGTGCGTTTCAGCCAATTTATCATCTGAACTATTAATACATTTTTAAATTATACTTTTTTATTCATCACAGCAATTTCTTCCTGGACATCTAATAGTGCCATTCAGCTCTAATTCTCTAAGGAGTTAAAAGCCTCTTAAATTTGTAAGGCTCTCTATGCACAATGATTCTGGTGTGCATTAAAATATGTATGAATTTTGAATATGGAATACTCCTCTGGTCTGTTTTTCTTGACTGAGACATGTTTAAGGAGTCTAGGCTCATTATTTTATAGACTGCCCCTCAGTTTCGGTTTGTCCAATATCTCCTGATTAAATCGGGTTGTGTGTGTTAGACAAGAGTACCACAGAAATGCTGTTGTATCATTTGCAGTGCATCATGTCGGGAGACACGTGATATTTACTTGTCCCATGTCTGGAGATGTTAACTTTTCTCACTTGGTTAAGGTAATGATTGCCAGGTTTCTCCTGTATTTCCATTTGTAATATAAAAATTTGTGGGAGGTACTTTGAGATTATGTAAATAGACTTTTGCTCATCATACTTCCACTCAACATCCATTGATGACTTTTTAACTACATTTCTTTATTAGTTGGCATTCTGTTAATAAGGAAGAACTTTCTCTTTCTACCCATTTATTTATTTACTTACTTAATTATATCAGTTTAGATTCATGAGTCTTATTTTATTCAGTGGGTTATTCATTCATATCATTGTTTCGGTTTACAAATCTTCTTGAATTTGGCCAGTGGAGCCACTTCAAGCTCTGTTATTTTGACGTGCCTTCATGATTCTTTGAGCACTTTCTTTCTTTATGGCACAGTAAAACATCTTGTTTTTCCAGACTCAACTTGTACTTTCCCTGTCCCAGATCTGGAATCAGCCATTCTCCAAGGAGCTGGTGGGCATGTTTTTTAAAGGGTGCACATATTGGCTTGTGCCACTGTTTACTTATAGTACTGGATACATGTGCATTGGTATTCATCTGTTATTGTCAGTGAGTGCCTCAACGAAAATGTGTATGATCATTTCTTTCTATTAACTGGCACTTTAACTTGACAAAAGTGATCTTCTCTATCTATGTTCATTTGAGTGGCTTATTTGAGTGCATTCTAGATAAATGGTGCTATGCTGTTTTCTGTAAGCCGTTTTGAGGAACGTCATGATTGGAAAAAATGTTTTACCAGATATATGGAATATATATAATCTGTTTCTTTAATACTTCTTTGTTATTGGAGTGTTGTCATTCAGAAACAAATGTTATCTTTTAGGGGGGCAGGGAAAATGCTACCTCTTCTGGAAAGCCTTTTTTATTCCTGAACAGCTATAATGACTGAAGCTCTCTTAAGCTTCTTAGAACCTTGTATGTTGTATTATTATTGTTGTTATAGTATTTTCTCTATGAGGTCAGTCAGCTCCTTAACGGGAGCTTAACCTCATTGATCTCTGTATTTTGCTCCACCCCCTCTATATTGCACTGCTTTGCTTTTGTAGGCACTGAGAGTGAATATTTGTAGCGTATCTTTCCCTTTTGTTGGCAGATTGTGCTGATCTGATCCCAGCTATGGAAAACATTTTTTTAAACCATTCAACATTGTCTTCATACCAGTGGGAAATCCTAGGTAACTGTCGTAATTAATTTTTAGATGACAAAAAGGAACTTGGAGCAGCCAGAAGAAGTCAGTATTACATGAAATATGGGAATCCAAATTACGGAGGCATGAAAGGAATTCTTAGTAATTCTTGGTGAGTCTAGAACTTTAAAATACAATAGTTTAAATACTATGTAAGCTTTTCTTAATCCCTCAGTTGGTATTCTGCAGTGGAATGTCAACACCATGTGTGGACTCGAAGGAAGACAAGAAGAAAGAGCTCACGATTCTTAACTCTAGGGTAAATGGTATGAAAGGCTGAGTTTGAGTTTCACGTAAAATGTCTCTGTTTAAGCACCTAACATTTCATCAGTGTATAGTTGAATTTAATTAGTAGATTTCAAGGTCCTTTCTGTTGGTTTTTGACTATGTGCTTATTTTGGAATGTTGCAGGAAGCGAAGATATCATTCCCGTCGCATTCAGCGGGATGTGATCAAGAAGAGAGCCCTGATTGGGGATGACGTTGGCTTGACGTCCTATAAACACCGACATTCCGGTAGTTGCCTGCTCAGCTCTTGGGTAGACACATGTTTGGCTCCCGAAATCATATTCTTATTCTTAATACAGTCTTTTAAGGTTCCAAACTTTATCATCCTCTCTTCCTTGCCCTCACCCTCTGCCAACATATAGGAAAGTAAGTCAAGTCACGATTAATTTTAAATTGCCCATACAAAAGAGGTCAAATGATTTAATAAAAGCTGTTCTAACAAAAAAGGCCAAATATGACATAGGAAAAATTGAAAGAAAATTTTCTGTAGGAATCTAATTTTTCTACTATTAATATCAAAAGCTGCATGAAAATCTTTTAAGTTATTTTATCAGATGACTTGATTTTATTATTTGTCTGATGATGAAAATAGGCTATGTCTGGTGTTTTATGCTTATTGGCTTGTGCACACGAATGCCTCCGTTAAATGAGATACCATGACTTGGGTTTCATTTTGTTTGTTCTGTCCTTCCTTCCTTTCTTTCTTTGTTTTGGTGCTTATGAAAGAACCGTTTTCATTATGTTTTATAAAGATTTTTTATTTTTAATCTAATCTGTAGAATCTTCTACATGCTTTGTAGAACTGCTAAGTCAGCATACAAACATGGGATAACATGTTTATCATTGTAACAGGGACAGGTGAAGTCTATCATTTTTATTTAATGAGTATATCCAAAATTGTATATTTGAAATCTGCTTCTTAAAAATGTATATACTTTTCTGTTACACAGTTACAGGTTTCCAATTTCAATTACTCTAAGGTATTCTTATCATACAATCTTTATATTTACATTAAAGAAATTAAAAAGCAAATTGCCCCTAATTCTAGCACGCTAACATAAACAACTGATTTCATTTTGCATTTATTTGTCTCTTTTCATAATAAATATAATTGTTAACATATATTTTATAGTCATCTCCCACTTAGAAGCATTTTTCCATGAACTTAAAGTTACAGTTGATTTTCATTATTCATAGTGGTTATGTTCTATAAAGTCACTGTGATCGTTGATATAGTGAATACTAAACCATTCGGAGACTCTGGTCGCACCATTTTCATCAACTGATCAATATATAACCTCGGATGTGTGTTTCTGTTTAAAGACATCTTATTTAATACATATTGTTGATTCATTAACATTGGACTCACAGCCAACAGCACTATAACTCATGCTCGAACAGAGCTTATTTAACATGTGTTTATTCTGTAAGGCAATCACAGCCTTCTTGGGCTTAAGAACACAAGATAGCTTTGGCAGTACACTTGGAGGCCATTTTAAAAAATTTTTAAATGAAATCACCAACAAAAGCCACAAAAATATGAAAAGCATGGCACTTAATGAACTGCAAAAAGGGCACTTGTTTACAGTATGAGAGCTGAAATAAAGCAGAGTGTTGCCTCATTTGACCTCAGCTGGGAATATGCACAGCTGATGACTCAATTTTTTTGTCACTCTGCACATGTCCACAAATGACCATGAAAACACCTTTGTAAGTGTTGATATGGAGTTACAAATAAATTTGACAGATTTGCAAATATAGAATTCATGAATAATGACAATCAACTGTACTTTAGATAACTTTATGATAGTCTATCAGGTTACTAGATCATACTGTACTAGCCATTCTTCTGTTGTAGGTATCAGAATGGCAACTAGATTGGAACTTACAGATAATGCTCCAGTAAGATCTTGGGCATGGGAACCCCACCTTTTAAAAAGGTCACCAATGTAGAGTAGAAAATCAGATTTGTTAGTTTTAGTGCTTTTCCTAATGTGTTTTGGTTAAATTTCTTAGGACTAGTACATGTTCCAGAGGAACCCATTGAAGAGGAAGAAGAGGAGGAGGCAGAGGAGGACCAGGACATGGATGCAGATGACAGGGTGGTGGTGGAGTACCACGAGGAGCTGCCAGCTCTCAAGCAGCCCCGGGAGCGGAGCACCTCTGGGCAGTCCAGTGCCAGTAGTTCAGACTCCGATGAAATGGACTATGACCTAGAATTGAAAATGATTTCCACTCCTTCACCAAAGAAAAGCATGAAAATGACCATGTATGCTGATGAAGTGGAATCCCAGTTGAAAAATATTAGGTAAAAATAGTTTGTTTTTTTTTAATCAATGCTAGCTTTTTATTTTATTTTAAATACTAATTCGTAACTTTCTCTTAACTCCTCTTAATTTTATAATCACTTTTATCTGTTCTAATTTCAGTCCATTGAAGAATTTGAATAAAAGCATCCAGTTTTTCCTGTAAATAGACAAGAAGTAATCCTTGTTATAAAAATGATAGACAGTAATAGAAAGTGAAAATCATCCATAATATCACCTTTCCTAAAATAATGACTTAACAATTAAATGAATAACTTTCCTGCTAATTTTATGTATATACCTAGCACATGGAGAAATTACATAGTTCTACAAAAATGAGGTTGTATTTATATTGTTTTGCAGTGTGCTTTTTCTGTTTAATATATTGTAGACTTCTATTTTTTTCACCCAGATGTAGTACATTGAAAGTATCATGATTTATTTAACCAATTCCTTATTGATAGACATGTAGGTTTCTATTTTCTTACGGTTGCACTAACTAGATAAATTTCTTGAATTCCAGTTATTGCACAAAACTACATATATATTTAAAAATGTGGTGTTGCTAGAAGTGCCTAGGTGGCGCAGTTGGTTGAGCATCCGACTCAGTTTCGGCTCAGGTCATGCTCTCAGGGTTGTGAGATTGAGCCCCGTGTCAGGCTCAGCATGGAGTCTGCCTAAGACTCTCTCCTCTTCCTCTGTCCTTCCCCGCCCACCCCTGTTCTCACGCGCGCACGCGCGCTCACTCTCCAAAATAAATAAATCTTAAAAAAAAAAAAAAATCCATGTTGCCAGATTTCCTTCCAAAAAGGTTTTACTCACTTTATAACCTATTACCTATGTACTCACCAGTCTTATCACTCTTTCTAATTTTTGCTAATTTTGTGGACCAAAAAAAATAGTTATTCTAATATGTATTTCTTTGATGACTAGTGGGGATGAACAGATTCCTAAGGGCAGATAGCATATGCACAACTCAAAGTGTTGGGGTCTAGGGGTTCTCTCTCTAAGTGTTCGTGGTAGTGTATTTGGGGAAAGGAAAAACAATTCAATCTGGTTCGTTTATATGGCTCTGCTCATATCCTTATTTTTAGTTTTCAGAGAACTTTCCAGTGTTGAATGCTGCCAGAATAATGCTGGTGCCTAGCATGGTAGCAGATGTCTTTGACAGAGAAGTCTGCCCTTTAAAGAAAGAGATTGTAGACTGTTGTATGTTGACTACAGCAAAATCACAGCCTGGGTGAACAGAGATCCCTGAGTCCTTTGCAGACCTTTCTCAACATTTGTCCCAGAAGGGAGGGTACTGGGACTTGCAATTACACATTCTTTGATAGTTTACAGATACCATTTGTGGAAACCACACTGGAAAACTCAGAAGCCTACTTGCCCTGATCTCTTTATAGCAGGCTGATCATTATTTTTGTAAGCAAATAATTACTGATATATGGTATTTGTGAGTGAATATTGGCTATATTAGATTGGGCTCTTAAATTGTTTTCTCCAAAATATATGAGATTATTGCATAGTCTTATCCCACAGTTGAAGTTGGTTAATTGTGCCTTTTTTTTTTTTTAAAGGAACTCCATGAGGGCAGATACTGTATCCACAAGCAATATCAAAAACCGAATTGGTAACAAATTACCAACTGAGAAATTTGTAGATGTCCGACATCTGTTAGATGAAAAACGTCAGCACACACGTCTACGGCCACCAGGCAGCAATACTAAGTCAGGTATTGTTGTTTATTTGTGGTTCTGAGCTCCAGAAAGCAAATTAGGGCAGAGGTAGGTCCTTGGATAAAACATTGCCAGTAATGAACTGATTTAGTTGTCCTAGTTCATCACTTCTAAATTTTGGGTTAGGCATTGGAACTTTAGGACATGAAAAATAATCGTACTTTTGCAGTACTAGCTTTCAATATTTATGTCCCAATTTTACTCTGTATGTCATTGATATACTTTATACATAGGATGATAGAAATTAAGTTGGGTTTTTGTATAAATGGTCAAGAATTTGAACTAGATAGTATACATGTGCAGAGCGGGTACTTGGCCATGCCTGCTGTGTGCCAGCCCTGGGTTAGATGCAAAGTCATCATAGCACTTAGATGGAGAAACACGAGTGCACACATTCTGGTAATTCCACCCCAAAACAATGGAGTAAGTGCTCTACTAGGTCTGTAAGCAGTAGGCCGTGGGAGCACAGAGGGGAGGTGGGTCTACTGGGGGAATTGTGGAGGGCTTCTTAAAGAAAGTGGCTTTACAGCAAGGCTCGGGGAGGGAGTGGGATCTCCATTGGCAAACCTAGTTTTTTGAGGTGGGAAATAAACTGATCTTATATTTATTTTAGAAAGATAATTTGTGGTAGGGTGGGGTAGGGTAGAGAGCTGAATAAGTAACAAGGGTCTAAACTAGATCTGGGAGAGTGGAGATGGAGTGGATGAGAACATCAAAACTTGTAGAGGAAGAAGACTTGGCACTAGGAAGTGAGGGAGCAAAGGGAAAGAAGCCAAAGAACTCAGGCCTGAGAAACCAGAAAGTTGGGGATGCTTCTCTCTGAGATAATAAGCAAGATGGATGAAAGCTGCAGTACAGTGACTTGCTAGTAAACGTGTTGTTGTTGCTGTTATTGTTAGGGGGAGCTCAAGAGGACAGATTTCTTGGAGGAGGTTTGGCGGAAGGGAAAAACAAATTTGATTTGTCATATCTTCCCTTGATCCTTTGCTTTTGTCAATCTCATTACATTTACTATTAAATGTAATAAGTTTATTAAGAATTCCTTATATGTTCAAAGATTGTGGTTTCTGTCCTCAGGGAACTTAAGTATTGTTTGTTAGCTGAAATGTTTGTAAATTCTTTGGTATGCTTGGTTCTACTTAAAACACACGCACAAGAAACGAAACAGCTGAGTTTGTGTCAGAAGTTCCTTTCTGGAGCAGTCAGCTGAGAGGTTTTTTCCACTGGAAGCCTCGATGTCTGAACTTTCCTAGGGGAATCCGGACTGATTATATAGAGAGAAGGATTTTAGAAGCTTGATTTTGTCAGGCTCTTTGTCTTGGTTTGGGGAGATTTGGCACCAGGTCCTCTAGGGATCTCAGGTTGACAATATCGATAGCAAAGCACACATGCTTGGTCACAGTAATACTTTTTTTCCTTTTTCTAGATATACGCCAGCGGTTAGGAAAAAGACCATATTCTCCAGAAAAGGCTTTTGGTAGTAACCCAGTCTTTCGGAGAGAGCCTTTTTCTGATGTACATAGTAGGCTGGGTGTTCCCAGGCAAGACATTAAAGGCCTCTACTCTGATACTCGGGAGAAGAAATCAGGTTGGTAACACTTAAAACTGAGGGGGATAGGAATTGGGTAAGAGCAGACTACAGCATAGAAATACTTTGTTGGTCAAAGCCAGGAAATAGCGTATGTCAAAAATAAATTATTTTTTCCTCTTCCGTTACAGTCGTCATAATTGTAATAAGGGTATGGAAAATTTAGAAAATAGAAAAAAAAACAAAACCAGCCTTGGTTCTTTCTGTTTAGCGCAAATACTTTTTAGTCTTAAGTTTCTATTCACATCTTTGTCCATATACATATTCTGCTTTTTTCATACAGGATTTTATTGTGATCATTTTTTCACATTGTTAAATTTTTTATAAATAAAATATTTAATTGCCTTTATACTGTAGTATGCTATGAAATGCTAAACACATATTTCTCTATTGTTAGATATTAATAAAGTATATTTAAAAAATTAATGGATAGTGGGCCAACTCTCTGAAAGTTTACAGTATAGCAGGCCTGTCAGTTTGCAGAATTTATAGCTGGGAATGATCTGGGAATGGCCCACTCCTGGCAGAATGAAGCTCTACAGAGAATGGTGAGTCTCACCAGGGAGGGGCAGGTATAGCATAAGCAGCCTCCGAGGTGATTCTGATATGCATGGGAGGCACACGTCCCCTAGCTGTGGGACCCAAAGATCCCTCAGTTTGCAGGCAGGGATGATAGCCAGGGAAATGAGATTACCTTCCTAATGCTGCAGAGAGGTTACAGGAGCCACAGACCCCTCCCCAGTGTTTCTTGCACATCAGGTGATGGCAGTGCCCCTGCTTCTCAGCATTGACCACCAAAACTGAAATGCCTTCTCATCCAAACAGGTAGTTTATGGACGCGCTTAGGATCTGCACCCAAGACCAAAGAAAAGAACACGAAGAAGGTGGATCACAGGGCGCCAGGCACTGAGGAAGATGACTCTGAGCTGCAAAGGGCATGGGGGGCTCTGATAAAGGAGAAAGAACAGTCTCGCCAAAAGAAGAGCCGGTTAGATAACTTACCATCTCTCCAGATTGAAGTTAGTCGGGAAAGCAGCTCTGGTTCAGAGGCAGAGTCCTGACGCCCTTGGGGCTAATGGCAGCTGCACTAAAATCTGACATTCTCGTGCAGGGTGGGGTGCACAGTAGGACCCCTCCGCTCCCCCTCAGGAGTTGGCGCCCCTCCTGCTCTTACACAGTCACCCTCAGCTCTTGCTGCTTCAGCAAGACATGTTAAGAATGTGATGTGTTTTGAAGGGCATCTGTCTATATTTTGCTGCAGAGTAAGAGTTCTGGGCCCTCAATCCTTTCCCCACTACCCCACAAGCTTTACCCTTTGAGGAAAAGGCAGCCCTCCAGATTTTGTAGACGTTTTTCTTAATATTTTTAACATTGTGCTTTTAAAGAAATGTTTTACACAGTTCATCCAAAGAGCAGAGAACTGAACTTCTCACTATTGCCTTGGCCCTGACAGCTGTTACCAGCACCCTTTTCCCAAGAAAAGTCAATTCCCAGGTGCTTATTGGACAGCCTTCGAGGGGGAAGATGAGGGAAGCTGCCAGCTCACCCTTCCAGGACCCTAGTGTGGGGGCCGGATCTCATGGACCTGACCTCAGAGGTGCACCGGTGCCGCCCAGGTAGATAAGAGATGCAGCATCGATCGTGCTTCCGTTCCTCCCTGGGGAGTTCTGCTAGGGGCATCTTAGCAATCAGCTTGAAGTGAAGATCAAGTTCAGTGCTGTGGGATTTTTAGGAACAAAAAACTGTGACTTCTGGATTTGGGTGGATTTTTGTGCTGAGGTGGGGTCATGGGTTAATGTTGAACAATTTTTAAGTCTGTATTATGTTTAAAAATATTAATGATTTAAAAGTTTAAATTTTTAATTTTTATATGTGAAAATATTTCCTGTTGGCTACAAGGGAAGCTCAAGTGGTGTCTTATGTGTGCTGTTAAATATATATTATATACTTTGGAAGAAGGCAAAGAGAGGAGTCTCATTATTTTTAAATGATCCTAATTGTATAGTCTGTCTGCTGTATATAGTGTTCAGCTTGCTTTTTGGCCACTGTAGGAAAAAAATCCATCCATCTGAGATGGGGTCCTGTTGTTTATTATCACTTCAGAAGTGATACATTAGTATTTATTCTTTCTATTTCTAAGTTCTGGCACCTGAAGATATCTTTAAAACTGGCAAATAAGATAATAGTAATAGAAATTTTAGTTTGTTTATTTCTCGTTTACTTCTAAACTCCGTTCAGATTATTTTAAAGGCAGTAGATTACTTTGTCTTCCTATTTGATCTTTATTTTGAAGTATTTAATGTTTGTATTCCTCTACAAGCTTAAAAATAGTGTTTCACTTCAATTCACTAGAACTTAAGAGTTAGAGATAGTAAGCCTTTGTCGCTTTGTGATGTCACAACTCCTCACCTGTCTGGAGTGTTTCGGTACCTGGTGCAGCCCTGGATTCTAAGGATCTTTACTTGTGGCATTGATAGTTGATTACAGTGTGGTGTGATTGAATGCAGAACACTGCTGCTAAGAAATGAAGGAAAGGGCTGTGGGACTTGAGAGCTGCAACAGCTGTACTCTACCATGTTTTGTTGCTTAACCTGCTTTTCACTCCCTTTAGAAAGATTAGAAGCTATTAACTACTGTATGTTTCCGCTTCCTCATCGGATTCTTGGAGAGAGATGGTTCTCTGCCAGTTGAGACTTATCGTTTCTGAGGTTTTTCGCTTTTTTTGCCCTGTGGCGTGTACAGCTGAGAGCCAGGTTCTTGAGAAGGGCAAGGTTTGGGGAGTTGGTAGAGTGAGAAGGACAAGGACTTGAGAGTCCGAGACCTGGATGCCAACCCCTGGTTTCTGTTCCATGGGCCTGGGCCTCTAGTTTTCCCGTCTGGCAAATGAATGGGCTGGTACCAGAGCTTCTTGACTTTGTTGGTGCGTCTCAGTGGTGTTTTACTCTTCCCGAAGCAATGGTTGTGGTGGGCTGGCCAGCACTGGTTTCTGTTGCAGGTGTGGGGAGGGTCAAGAAGGGCATGCATGAGATTTGGGGCAGGGATTGACCTCCATCCCATTTCCATTACAGTCTCTGGGTCTTCTAGTGGGACAGAGATGTCCTTGTGGTCAGGGTCCTAACTGATGTGGTCTCAGCAGTGTTCAAAAAAAGCCCTTCTGTGTTTCCCAGTCATGACCTTTTCCACCAGTAGTTTGAGCCCATCTCTCGCATGGCCTTATAGTCCTGGCCAGTCTCCTGCTAGAGATCAGGGAGGGCTTTCTGAAAAGGTGGTGGTGTGTAGTCAGAACTGGGCCTTTGATCTAACCAAGAAAAATGCCCACTTCAGCAGCCTTGCAATTCTTACAAATACACAGACCCCAGAAAAGTATCTTTGAAGATTTCACTTCCCCAAGTTATTGTTGGCCACCTCCTCTTGCTCTCTGGCCCACACTCAGGCACTCAGATGTTAACCACATCTTACGTGTGCTGTGAGTGCCCAGGCCCTTTCTTTGGAGTTTGGGAGTGAGGGTAGACAGTTAGGATGGCCCCCTAGTGGCAGCTCAGTGTGCCTGGGCGCTCCTTATGTATGTGGGCAGCAGGGCTACAGACTTTTCTATATTCTTCTTAGCCTTTATGCATATGAGATTACAAATACATTTCTGCTGCTTGATAGTAATTGCAGATACCTCATTTCTGTTTCCCACTCTCCCTCTTGGGAGAGACACCAGCTACCCAGGAGAACTTGTGGAGCTTGTGACGAGCCCTCCTCTGGCCCCTTTTCTCGTCCCATGAACTCCTCCCCTTAGTTCAGTCACTGTCTTCTCCCACTTCATCCCTGTGACAGCCTCCTCCCTGATCTCTGCCCCATATCCCATCCCTCCATCTCTGTTCTGTGCACTGCAGCTGGGATGAACTTTTGTTGTTTGCAACTTTACTGAGCTATTATTTACATAGCATACAGTTCACTCCTTTCAAGTATACACTTCAGGGGCACCTGGCTGTCTCAGTTGGAGGAGCATGCGACTCTTGATCTCGGGGTTGTGAGTTCGAGCCCCACATTGGGTATAGAGGTTACTTAAAAATAAAAAATTTTAGGAAAAAAAGTGTACACTTCAGTGGCTTTTAGTATATTCACAGAGTTGTGCAGCCATCACCATAGTCAATTTTAGAACATTTTCATCACCAAAAACAAACCTTATATCCATTAACAATCATTCCCCAGTCCCTCTTCCCTCCTGGCAACCACTACTTTTGGTTTCTGTGGATTTGCCTATTTTGAATGCTCATGTAAATGGAATCATACACTTTGTGGCGATTTGTGATTGGCTTCTTTCACTAAACATATTTTTGAGGATCATCTGTGTTGTAGCCCGTATTAGAACTTCTTTTTATTAATGAATAATACTCCATTGTATCAATACAGTACATTTTATTTATCCATTCATCAGTTGATGGACATTTGGGTTGTTTCCACTTTTGGCTGATGTGAATTATGCTGCTATGGAACATTTATGTACAAGTGTTTGTGATCATGTTTTCATTACTCTTGGGTTATATATCTAGGGGTGGAATTGCTGGGTCATACGGTAACTCTGTCTTAACCTTTTGAAGAACTGCCAGACCATTCTCCCAAATGGCTGCATCATTTTCCATTTTCCCCATTAGTGTTTGAGGGCTCTGGTTTTTCCACGATCCTTGACAACACTTACTTCGCAATGTGAAGTGGTAGCTCCTTGTGATTCTGATTTGCATTTCCCTGATGTATAATGATATTGGGCATCTTTCCGTGTGCTTCAGAATGAACTTTCTTAAGAAAGTTATTCTGTTATTCTTCTGCTTAAAACCTTTCCAAAGCTTGGAATAAATTCCAAACTCCAATGATAGCTCACAAGGCTTGTCAAAATCTAACTTCTGGTATCTCTGGCCTGTTCTCCCCAACCTCCCCTGCCCTGTGCTCACTAGTTACTTGGACCCATCTTGATCTCACCAGCCTTTCAAACTCTGCTTAGTGCTTTTCTTCCTCAGCAGTGACACACTCCCCTGGACCTTTCTTCCTTCTGCCTAAGCCTTGCCTTCTCTTTTCCCTCATCCTCAAAGACTTAGAGACCACTCCAGGTGGCTGCCTCCAACTTCCAGAGCCAGGTTATGGGCCCCTGCTACACAGTACTGTCATGAATGAGACTCTGCTCATTTCAAGGTTGGGCTATACAGTCACACCTAAGATAAAAATGGAGTGTAATCAAAATTCCTCTTGAAAATCGTGGGGAACATGCCATGTTGAAAACCAGCATCGTGAGATCCAGCACAGTTGGTTTCTGCCTGTGTGGGAACAGATCATTGTTTGGTTGAGCTCCAGCTGAAGTGGTTGGCATGCAATGAGGGCCATATTGTGCAAAAAAAACCCACTTATTTTTAGGTGTTAAACTCACTCAGGCAAGCAACTCACTTTTTTTTTTTTTTTATTCTTATGTTAATCCCCATACATTACATCATTAGTTCTACATGAAGTGTTCCATGATTCATTGTTCGTGCACAACACCCAGTGCTCCATGCAGAACGTGCCCTCCTCCATACCCACCACCAGGCCAACCCATCCTCCCCCCCCCCTCCCCTCTAGAACCCTCAGTTTGTTTTTCAGAGTCCATCGTCTCTCATGGTTCATCCACCCCTCCGATTTCCCCCGCTTCATTCCTCCCCTCCCGCTACCTCCTTCTTCTTTTTTTTTTTTTTTTTAACATACCTTGCATTATTTGTCTCAGAGGTACAGATCTGAGATTCAACAGTCCTGCACAATTCACAGAGCTTAACAGAGCACATACCCTCCCCAGTGTCTATCACCCAGTCATCCCATCCCTCCCACCCCACCCCCCACTCCAACAACACTCAGTTTGTTTCCTGCGATTAAGAATTCCTCATATCAATGAGATCATATGATACATGTCTTTCTCTGTTTGACTTACTTCACTCAACATAATACCCTCCAGTTCCATCCACGTCGTTGCAAATGGCAAGATCTCATTCCTTTTGATGGCTGCATAATATTCCATTGTATATATATACCACATCTTCTTTATCCATTCATCTGTCGATGGACATCTTGGCTCTTTCCACAGTTTGGCTATTGTGGACATTGCTGCTATAAACATTGGGGTGCACGTACCCCTTCGGATCCCTACTTTTGTATCTTTGGGGTAAATACCCAGTAGCAAGCAACTCACTTTTGAAGAGGCTCTTGGGAACTGTAACAAGCCACGTAAGCTTACCTTAGGTGAGTGGAGGGGCAGGTGAAATGGCCCAAATGACTTAAAATTGTTTTCCTTTTTCCTTGTCTTTTTAAAAATTTTTTCAGGAGAATATACCATTGTGTTTGCCTAAGTGAAATGTGTGTATGATGCCAAATCTCTGTAACCACCCCCTAAAGCCAGCACGGCTATACACTGAATTGTAATTCCCTGTTCCTACTTTGTCTTTTTTGCTAGATTGTAAGCTCCATGAGAGTAGGCACCATGTCTGGTTTGGTCATGGGGGTTTCTCCAGTCTTAGAGCCATGCCTGGCACCTGGCAGGTTATCTATAAACATGCGGTGAATGTATAAATCCCCCAGCTGCAGGAACAGCTTCATTCTCTGAGGCCTGGGGTCCTCTTACAGGCTAGTCCTTGTTTTCTGCCTTGTACACACAATACTTGATGTTCATGTTTTATTTTCCCTTTTAGCCTGTGAGCTCCTAATGAGCAGGTGTCTTCATGTTGTTATCTCTGTATCCTCCCACCATGCCAGTCCAGAGTAAGGAGTACTTAAAAAGTGTTTGGTA